CCTTTTATTTCTATGGTCTCAATTTAGAAAATGCTACAATCATGACAATGAGCAAGGCCAAGGATGAGGGTGATATAAAACAGGTTTGATTATATTTGAATTGCATGAGTAAAAGACTGAATAAGTGATCACACTTAACTGTTCTGAGTTTAGTTTTTCTTTCATTAAAAGGCAACCTTTAATTTATATAAAATGCTGCTGTCAGAATATTATCACAAATATTACTGTTCCCTGTTATGGATTTCAGTTTAACCCACATCTCACTTGTGTGCTGGTTAAATAATGGTGGTCTCACATCATATGATTTATCCACTATGATCATCCATCATGTACCGTGGTCCCTCTTGGCCTTAGATCATGGGACAGTGGTTACCTTACCGTCCATAGAATCAAGAAATTTGCAGGCAGCAGAGTGTTTTCCTTCTCTGGAATCACCCACCATCTTATGATAAAGGAAGCACTGACTGTGGAAACCTTCAAATTGAAACTCATAGCCTATCTATTCTCGTTGTCACATGACCGACATTAGCCTTGTCTAGCTTGCCAGCAGCAGACTCTACTCCCACCGCAGCCTACACAGTGTTGATACAGAAACAGGCCAGAGAGAACCCAGTGCTACAGTCTATTTTCCTTGGTACTGCACCATCACACTCAGTTTCCCTGCTGACTGTGTAAGTGTGCATTTAGCATGGAGTCTCTTTGACCTGGGTGTACTGTATGTGTGACTGTTTATCTTTGACCTCGGTCAGACACTGGCCTGATGTAACATTGCTACTTGGTACTGGATCAGGATTATGCTGCTGGTGAACCTTCCACAACACCATGTGTCATATGCCTTAATGTCACTGCCACTGTCCATTTGACACTTTTGTTCTGGCATGTACTATGCACTCAACCTTCCATGTAGAATTAAACTTAGGATTCTTCTTTATTTGCTCAAGGTTTCTTCCTTCTTGCCCTGTGAGCAGCGGAGCCAATAGATGGCAATGTTGGTCAATCAGTTGGACATGTCATGATGTTAGTCAGTTTTATACAGAGCAAGATATTGTATCTAGACATCTACTTGCCAGGTTGCTGTGATATTTGTTATATATGTTTCTTGCCTGATAACTCAAGGGCTCTCTGTAATATACAGTATTGGCTGTTTTAAGCATAATAATCCTGTCATTTCTGTATTTGTAGAGTAAAAAAAAAAAAAACTAAGCAAGGAATTTGGTGGATGTTTTGGAAAATGTTTGTAACTGTCATTTTCAGTTTGTGGAGCATAAACACTAAAAGAGCAACATTCAAAATGAGTGAAGGCAGTAAAGATGCTGAGTTTCTCATAGGGCGTTTGAGCTGGTGCTAAGCAGATGAATGTGTGCTGGGGAGCAGCTTGTGCAAATCCAACCTGTGGGGTTTCAACCAGCACGCTGTTTGAGCCTAAACTGCACATGCTGTGGCTTATCAGTCATCAGCCCAAGTCCAGTGGCCTGGATTGGCAAACAGTTCCATCTGAAATTTCTTCCCCGCTGCAAACTTCCACAGACAGGCCATCTTGTGTCTGAGACACACAGCGAGCAGGCTGCTGTTGGTTCAGATGACCACAGAGTTGACTATCAGCGGGGTATCGTTTTGTTTTTTTCTTGGTTTGTTTGGTTGTTTTTGTTTTTGTTTTTCAACACAAACTCCTAATATTTAATGAAGCCTTTCTAACATTGTAGCTATCCTACTCTTCTACTCTGAACCTTTTTGGACTTGAACAACTGACGTCGCAGCACTTGAAACCACACTGTTAACATGGCCAAAAAGGGCAAAGCAAACCTTTATCCTCAAAAGAAAAAGTGGACATAAATAGAGAATGTTAATGGTTACAGAAACGTGGATAGAGTTACTACTTTAGTAAAGGAATCCAATTCATTACACTTTAAAAAAAATCTAATTCAGCAACAATTTCCCTCACATTCTTCTTGCTGTCCATCTGGTGTGTGTGCTCAGACTACCTAATGTGTTTGAATACAGTCCTAGCATGAAATACAAAGTGATATAGGTTGGGTGGTTACAGTCAATCAGCACAAGGAGCTTGTTCGTGCACACCAGAGGGGTAGGGGACAGTGAAATGCTTGGTCTCTTACCCACTGACCCTTTAATTCTTTCTGGGACCAATCAGCTAAGCCTAAACTGTGGAATGTGGCAATTAAACTTAGTAAAGGAACATTTGTTGTCATAATTTTCATCATATTATCATATTAACATGTGATAGGTAATTCCTTCACTGCACTATGCCATAATGTGCATATGTTACCTGTGGTCACACTGTGGAGGCATGGAATCTAAGTAGGCCATGTTCAAAGTCTTTATTGCTGAGATGGCTGCTGGGAGTTGTGGGCAGAAGGCTGCTGATGTCTACTGTGGCTGCAACCAAAGAACCTGATGGTGCACACCAGTAAGGAAGGAAACTGTCAAGCTATAAAATGGACTCTTTATAGATTTAGTTGGTTTATGGAACTCCCAGCAGATAGCGGACAGGTATCAAACCTGCAACTTCTGTATTTTTTTTTTTTTTTTTTTTTTAAAGGTGGCCAGAAGCTCCAAGTCACAGGATATAACACTAGTCAGCCTTCCCAGAAAATCTTGGAGACTGGACTGTAGCTAATTGTGTCTTAAGTTTCAGGAGGAAAGATGCTGTTTACATCCTGGTAGTGGAACAGTTACACTATGGTGCTTCAGACTTGCAAGGATACTGGAAGGGTAATGGAAATGGGCCCATCCGGGCTGCTTGTGTTTTATGGGCTTGGGGAAGGCTTACGATCATGTCCCCAGGGGATCTTGTGGCTGGTATTTTGGCAATTCAGGATTCTGGGTCAGATTCTGCTAGGATTATGTGGTGTCACCAATTTTGTTTGCGACTTCCAAGGACAGACTATTTAGGTGCAGCCAAGGAAGAGCGAATGTCCAGCATGGAGGGCTCAGGATGATGTGGTTCTATGTGCATCATCAGGCTGTGACCTACAGTACACACTGTGGCAGCCTGCAACCTAATATAAAGTACTGGGGACAAGAGCCAGTTTCTCCAGGTCTGAGGCTATGGTACTTTGCCAGAAAATGTTGAATTGCTTTCTTCATGTTGGGAGTAGGTCACTATCTCAAGTGAAGGAGTTCAGATATCTCAGGGTCTTGTATATGAGTGAGGATAAGATCGGTGCTATGCTGTACCATTGTGCTGAAGAGGCACTTGAGTCTAGATTCCAAGCTCCTATTTTACCAGCTGATCTGCTTCCAACTCATGCCTGTTTACAACACAAAAGACAGGCATTTAGATATAGTCTCTGTCATCTGTATTTGAAGTTTATGTTATATAACATTACATATGAATTTAAGCAGGCTGAGATGTCCAAAAATTGCCCAAAGTAGTAGTAAAAGTAATAAAATGCCATTTGTGATAATGATAATAATAATAATGCATGTTTTTATGTCACATCTGAATCACTTCAGTCTTTTCCAGCTTTCTACATATTCTATAACCAAAGCTTTCAATTTGTTTTTGAGTTTTCCAATAACCTTTCAATATCTTATTTAAAGCACAATTGCTAATTATAATTTCAGCATCTCAATAACTTCTGATCCTTTTTTTGTATTTGTATTGTACCTGCATGTGTGTGTGTGTGTGATTGTGTGTGTGTGTTTGCCTACCCTTATCTGCTGTAAATGGTCCTCCACTTTTTGATGTATGGCTGTAATGTTTTCAGCAATCTGAAATGGCCTACTGACATCCTGAAGCGCTTTATCTTGAATCAATCACGATATGTCTGGTTGCCCTATATCAGCTTGAAAAACTTAGGATTAAAGGTGCCAAGTGTTTTTCACCCAGCTTGGTAGCACCATTACATTTCATAATGCCAACCTTCTGCAGTGAATACAAACAACAAATAAAAAGCATTTTTGCCCTATGGGAAATTAATGACCTATAAACTTAGTTTTTAAGAATATGTAACTTGTTGCTAAGTTCTGCCTTGTTGTTTTTTACCAAGCTGAATGCTTAGGACATACTGTACTTAAAAAACATAATGCTGGGGCAAACTTTTTCATTTAAAGCACTGTTTAGTAGGAAAGTGCAGTTGGGACAGACAACAAATTAAGAAATGGTACTAATACTGATTTTCTTTCAGCATGAATGAGGTTAGCACCTGATCAACTCTCTGGGTTGGCTGTCCTGAAGGAGACATTGGTCCTGCCTTCTTTCTGCTATACCAGACCAGCCCACTGCTTGATCCTCTCTTGACTGGACTCAAGGAAATGCAAGTAAAGAATAAACAGAGTTACAGTGTTGGTACCCGAACCAAATCTGGTGGGACTTGTTCGTAACTGAGGGTTCAGGCCAGGTTTAGACAGAAATTTAAAAATTATGTTCGGGTTTGGACAAGTCAAACTAAGATAGGCAGCTGAAGTGCTCAAATGCCCCCTTCATTTAATGATAAGGGGGAAAACAGTTTACAAACACAGCTGCTCAGGCTCGGGTCGGATTCAGTATGCGGCCCTATCCACAGCCTGAGAAGGTGAGACCTTTTAGGCCACAAACATACTATGACTGGCCCTGTTTGAAAAAGATTAAACTATAGCAAATCTGTTCAGTTCAACAGAGGGCGGAGCATGAAAGAGCCGGTACCATTATCCATCCACCAACACAATAATAATACCCTCCCTACTCACGACAGAGCCTTAAGAACACTGAGAACCTCGCCAAGTTTTTTTTTCTAATTAAATTCAAAGAGTTGTGTAATACAAGAAATTCATTATAAGTGAAACGATGTATCAAAACTGCAAATTAAAGGAATATGGTAACAGCCCTCCCTCTGCATCTCATTAACTGAGTCCCGTTGTACTGTGGCTATAGGTGAAGCCGCTTCTCTCTTCCATACTGAAGCAGGTGTCCAACATGGCGCACGTTGTCAGCGACTCTCTCGCGACTATTCTCTTTTTATTCATGTTTCAAGCGGCTCTCCAGAAAGGTAGGACTTTTCCTTTGACGTCTAAATGGAATACATACTTTCCTCCCAGATTTCCATGTATGTACTGTAGCTGAAGGAGTGTGATTTTATCAGCGTGCTGGCCAAGGTTTGAACGTGCGCGGCGAGGTTAGAGTATGTGGATATATGATGTTGCTGTGTGTAAGAAAGTTGAAATACAGAAGAGAAAGAACAGATTTATGTGTCTGCCATGTACACAAAGAGGCGTTACACACACACTGCCTAGGAATCCAAGACTACATCACTTTTGTCAGCTCACCATTATAAATTGCTTTGCTGCTTTACAGCTGGCAACTTAAACGTGGCCACTTCTGTTGTGCAAAAACAATCCGGTCTTTCTTCGCTCCATAGGCATAGAGAACTGCGCTTGGCATTTGGAATGGCTGTTTGTTTGGTCAGTCTGCTAGCTTGGTTACTTTTGTTGAATGCTGTTGAAGACGGAGCCTGTAAATCACAAAAAAACAGCGCAGCGTTTAAGTGGAAAATGCAGCAACCTCCACAGCGCGCGGTTGGAGGAGACGCTACAGCAAACTCTATTCAGAACCATGCTAATTTAACTGGATGATTTTAAGTTCATGATTCATACAGAGTAGAGCCCAACTTTAGATCTATTAATAATACGGTGTCCGTATACAAATTCGGCGCAGGAATAGTTTAGGAATAAGCAGATGTTTGCAATTTAATCTAAGTTTTTTGGAATTCGTGCACCATCGATCATCCTGCTGGATTTCATTGTGAGGCGACTGAAACGACGGGCGAGCCCGTTTAAAAAGTTGGAATTCCAATGAAACAAGTGCGGCTCGGTGTACTGGATGTGAGCCGAAATGGAAAGCATCTCAGAGTAGCCCACAGTGTGTCTTAGATTACCTTCAAATGCGTGTGTAGCTTTGCTGGTAAACAAGAGAAGATTAATTTGCTCGAGTTTCCAACTGCGCTCCGGGCTGTGTTTCTCGTAAATATCGTGACTGGATTTTCAGTAGCATCGTGAAACATCAAAGCTCTGTTGAGAGTGTAGTAATCCGTGTCAGATGCTTCCAAGAAGCGGATATGTTACAGATAAAGCTGGTGAGGGTGCAAACTGCGACACGGCTTTTTACGCAGTTGGCTTTAAAACAGCTGGCGATGTTAGGTGATGTTCCTGAGTTGCGGACCACACACACTCAAAGTGTTGCGTTACATGTCGGTATGAAGTCAACATTTTCTTGCCTATTGGTTCTGCGTTTTGTCTTGAACTACCGAGAAATGCTCACTTGGTTTGGGGTTATTTATCTGTGCGCATTGATAAAATAAAGATGTAGAAACAGTCGAGGCAACAGCATGCACACGCTGTCATAAACTGGCGTTAAAACAGCCTAGGTAACAATTATATAACTGGTCAAACTGTGGTTTTATTGTGAATTTACTTAGTTGTTTTGCAGCTTTAACCTGTTGTTGTGGTTGTATTTACCTATAGCCACGGCTGTTACAAATCATTAGTGCAAAGCGGCTCTTCACAATCTAAACCTTCCTTATGCTGGAGTCTTCTAGTGGTGGGAATGACAGAGAGGCTGATATCATTTGTCACACAGTGGATTATCCACCAGGCTCTGTCCATGACAATGCATATGCATTAAAATGGATGCACAGTGATAAATGTTTGTATGCCAGGAGCCAGAAAAGCAGCCAGTAAAGCACAACAAACTAAACAAAGCTCTGTTGTTTTTTGAGGACTGGGCAGTGGTGCTTTACCTTCATGGAAATGGCTTCACTGATTTCAAACAAAGCTCAGGGCACACTTGCACAAAACATATGAATTATTTACCCCCATTGTGCTTAGCGTTGCAGGATGTTTTCCCCCTCATCACAAATAAACAGAAGTTGCTGCTATCGGGGTAAAATTGCAGGCAGGAGATAAGGCAGTATTAATGAATTTCACCCTACTATAAGTTCAGTTTTGGCTCACATATGCTCATATGTTATGTTATATGTTTTGTCAGTCATTGGTGTATACATGCAGAATGTTTAGGTCTTTTTAACTGACTCAGACAAGAAGCAAGAATTTGCTAGGCATAATTCTAAAACCATGTTCATAATACTTCACCTTCTGTGTGAATATTCAGATAAAGAGCAACTGACTTTTGTGATGGGATTCTTTATTTGAAGATTAAGGGCTTGAAGTGAGTACTATAAGCACATACATTAATGTATTAAATGACTTTTTTTGTATCTTAAGTTTGCACACAATCATATAATAGTATGATTACAGTCATAAAGTGGACTACTACAAATAATTAAACTTGCAATAGATTGTGACAGTAATATTTGTATTTAGATGCCCTGTCTGATTTCACGGCCTGTAATGAATTCTTGATTTATAGACTTATACATTACAATTAGATTTTGTTTACTGTAGGCTGTTTAAGTGTTGGAGGTGCTTTTCTGTTTACTATTAAGAAAAGCAGTGTTTTGTAATGGAAGAATAATCGTACACCCAGTACTGACTGAAATCAGCGCTAATCAATCAGGCCAGTTGCAACTAGAAATGCCTGTATATTTTATACATTGTTGTAATTTATACATGGTGGAATGTTATTAAATATGCGTCATACGGTCATCCTATGCAATTCCAATACCAAGTTCAGTTGTACTGCATACTAGACACTTGGAACACCTGAGGTGTGGCACATTACAGGTGATACTAAAAGTGCTAACACAGCACACTGTGACCACCAGCTTGCTGAAACTTGATGCTGTGGTTAGGTAACCTGTGAAACCCCTGAAGCGTCTGTGTTGTCATTTTCGTGAAGTTGTGTAATGTGTAATTGTTCAGTGCAGAAAGTAGGTTGAGGTACAGCTCTGAGGGGAAACCTGGTTTCTAGAAACACCCCTTAGTCAGTCAGTCAGAGTCACTCATGTAGTTATTAGTTGCACTGTTATCATATCACGGTCTTGGAGATTATTTTAATGGTTTTGAGCGGATGCTTGTAGTGCAGATGAAAAGACTGTAGAAGATGTACTAGCCTACATGTACTTTAAAAGTGTGTTTGTGCATATAGGCTGCACATAGACCTTTCTCACCTTGTTTTAACAGCATTTTTGTTACTATGTTTAAATTCACAACATGCTGAACTACAGTCTCATTTGTTTGAATTTATCGTTTGCTGCCAATTGATGTGTTGTATGCGACATTAGGATAACAGCTCGACCATTCATAAAGGAAATTCATGTCTGTGACTACACTGCAGAACTGTACTAGTGTTAACTTTGTGACTCTTCTCTAACTTGTGCTCATTCACAAGTTGATATTTCTTAAAATGGAAGTTACTGTACGCTCCTTGTTTATTTACCTGTTGCCTTTGGTGAATCGTGAGACTGGAGCTTCACTGATGATGGCTGGTTAACTCAAGAGTTTATAGATAAATTATGTTCTCTGGAATGCCCACCCCCCAGGTGAGAGCAGTGTGTGTGTGTGTGTGTGTGTGTGTGTGTGTGTGTGTGTGTGAAGGAAGGAAACATGAATGTTAACAAGTCTTTATGAAACGATAGACCAAAATGTAGGTATTTTATATAACTGACTTAAACATTACCTTAGTCTTAGATACTGACTGTTTCTTCTCAGTGTTGCAGTGGATAAGAGCATGTTGCCTAGATGAATATTAGTCATGCTTTCTTCTGACAGTGGACATAAGTATGTAGATCCCTTTGGAGGTTTTTACTTTGTAAAGGGACACTTTGTAGTACCTTAGCATGTTGTCTCCTCCTGGATTGTTGTCACACCCTTTGTACAACAAGATGCAGCATGTTATGTATCTTAACAAAAGGATGTCTTTTTTTTAGTATTCATTGAAAGCCTAAATGAATGCATAACTGAAAACAGTTCATTTTCTGTTGGTTAAGTGATTATGGTTTGCAGTTTACTGTCCTTTACTTGTACATCACTGATTATTATTGAAGGCTGCACGAACTCCGTTTTGCTGTCTCAATGTGATTATTGGATGAAGGATTATTCTGAACTCAACCAATTTCCGGGATATTATTATGTGATATCACTTAATCAGAGAAAAGTAATTTGATGGGATTTCATGGGAAATCTCCAGCATGATAGTGCTCTAGAAAAGAGTTTCATTTGCGAACATTTAGGCTTACCAGTTACTTTTATTTGTTTTGAATGTACAGTGAATCTCAGATGTGATTGTTTAAGCCAGCCTCTCCATGTGACGGCTTGTTTAAGACTTGATCTCCTCGGTGCCTGCTTGTCCCTTGCCACCTTTATGCCTGCTGTGCTCCTCACAAGAGAATCATTGGTTCTCGTATAAAATGTGTTCAGTAGTTGGTTTTCAGGAAGTTCTATTTACCCCAAGGAATACATACTGCTTGTGGTAGTATAATATGCAATGAAACTATTACACATTGATTATACTTACCATATTCATCCAGTGCTTTATTTTATATTGTGTGTGTGCATGCAGCTAGTCAATACCTACCTTTTCATAGATGCCTGTAGCATTAAGTGGATGATCCTTGTCAATGCTGCATAAGAAGTGTTCATATGTTAATGAGCCTAAAATTTAGAACATTTAGTACATTTTCTAATAAAAAACATCTGACTTTAATTCAGAATCATTACAGTAGTTGAGACTGCTTTGTTCAGAAAAAGTTATTGCATTGCTGTTTTTCTTAAATGACAAAAGAGGCTTTTGAGGAAATGCTTTTATTCCCCAGTGTAAGAAGCATTAAACGTACCATTTTGGTATTGATTACTGAAAGAAATGTGCTGCAGACGGAACTAAAAAAATGTCAAAATATAATTTAAAGAAATTGAGATGCTCATATCTACCTTAAATCACACAGCAATTTTCTCATCTTGTTCAGTGATTTAAAGTATGTCTTTGTTTAATAGTTTACTTAATGTGTATTGTGACAAAAAGCATTGCATCACCAGTTCTTGTTGTATCAGATACACAGAGATATGCACAGTATGGATATTAACACACTATTGGTGTTGATATGGTTGCAGGGTTTTTAATTGGAGACAAAACACTGACTGCAGGCAGCTTCAGTTACAAAGAAAACCTGTATCTGATGCAGCTGAATCCTCGTGCAGTGCGGCTTGGCTCGGAGTCAAGCTGGTAGCAGCCCTGGTGATGGGGAAACAGGTGCAGAAATGGACTTGTTCTTCATCTGCACACCCCAACAGCTTCCCCAGCTGGCAAACCAGCAGCTGACTGGGCTGGGTCACATCTGGCCTCTGTGCACTTAGTGTAATCAAAGAGAGAAAAAAGGTTTTTATGGCCTACTTGTTATTGAGCCGCCAACTGATGGGATGTCAAGTAAGCGCCCTCTGTTTCCAAATCCCTTGAGTGGTTGCAGGAGGAGGAGGAGGAGGAGGGAGGGGAGTGGGGTTGTGGTGGTGGGCGTGGGCAGCAATCTGCCATTCTGAAAGCAGCCTACTGGCCAAGGTATCAAATTAGACTGTGCTGTACAGTTTGACAATCTGGCTATGAAACAAGTGAACTGAGTCAAATTCAACTGGCCTTTGAATATTTAGGGTCATATTTACATACTGTCGATGCACAAAATTCTACTGAGGTCAACGCAAGTATTTTCTGCACATCACTTGCAGGAATCTTGTTCGTCTGAGTCCTCTCACTACTCTGTACTGAAAAAATGAGTAGTTTAGGAAATCCAAAAAAGGTGGGAGAAGGAGCCTCCAGAGAGCTGAGGATTTACAGGGCTATGGTGCAGTTACTCAGGAATTAAAGTGGAAAAACATGTTATGTACACAGCACTTTGTCACTTAATTCATGAAAGGCTTTACTTTCTATTTAGAGTTTAGTCACATATAAAGATGTCTATTTGTTAGTGCTAGTCAGACTGTGAAAACAGTTATACAGTGTCCATTCAGATTTATGGCTAAAAACCTGGGTTACAAACTGGTGAGGTGGAGTTGAAAGCAGTTTTTGGAGCTTTACCCAAACGAGAGACTAAACATCAGGACATCTCATCTCAGCCTCCACTGTTTTGTTAGTGAGCATTGATTTTAGTT